TATCCTATCGATATATATATTATTATTGATATAAATTCAGAATAAATAAAATTTTATTTGTAATTATGATTTGTATTATATTAATAATTATCATATCCTATCGGTATATTGTTATTAGTGTAATTTTGTTATGATACAAAATAATGTTGACAATTTATGCTTATTTTATCATGTTTAATATCCTATCGATATTAAAATTATGTTAATATAAGTTTCTGTTTATTATTGTATCTTTGATGCAAGATCATAATGAGTTAGAGTTTTTTTTTTATATTAGGAAAATATTTGGCTGGTATATGAGAAATCTATTTTCTATATTACATAATCATTTATTTAATGATTATTTATTCCTCCATCATAGTCTCTTTTCCTAACTCTGTCAAAACTCTTAATGGGACCAATTATGTGGACTGGAAAGAGTCTCTCGACCTTTATTTGGCTATAGCCAACCTTGACTTGGCTCTGAGAACTGAAAAGCTTGACGCTATTACTGACACGTCTACTGAAGCTCAAAAGACCCTTTATGAAAAATGAGAACACTCCAATAGAGTATGCCTTAAGGTGATATCTTACACAATGGAAAAATCTATAAGACAAAGCATACCAGAAAGTGAGAGTGCTAAAGATTACTTGAAGTCTGTTGGTGAGAAGTTCACTCGTTTTGATAAGGCTAAGAAGTGTGAGTATCTCTCTTTGTTTGACAAAACTAAGTATGATGGTGTTAGTGGTGTGCGTGAGCATATTATGAAGTTGGTCCACTATTATAATAAGCTTAAAACTCTCAAAGTTGAAATTGGTGAGAGCACTTTAATTTGGAGGGTTCTTGAGTCTCTACCTCCCTAATTTGATGTTATGCGGACCTCCTATAATACTCAGAAAGTTGAATGGTCTGTGGATGAGATGATAGCCATAGTAACTCAAGAGGAAGATTCTATGAAAAAGGCAAAAGCTCAAAGTGTTCAGTTTGCTGCTTCTACTTCAGGAACAAAGAATTATAAGAAAAACTTCCATAAGGGAAAACGTCATTTTGATGATAAGAAAGGAAAAGGAACAACACAATATTTGGAGCCTAAGGATAAGTCTTTTAAGAAAAATATCTTTAAAGGAGAGTGCAAGTACTGCAAGAAGTATGAACATAAGGCAGATGGTTGTTTTATCTTGAAAAAGAAATTGGAAAAACAAGGGGTTCACAAGCCTGAGGAAACCAAGTGATGTTGAAGCGAAGGTCATTGTGGGAGATGGAGCTAGAGTATCAGTGATGGAGATAGGAGTTGTTTCCTTATTTTTACCTTCTGGACACATTTTGATTTTAAATGATGCAGTTTATGTACCTTCAATGAGAAGGAATTTGATTTCTATTTCAGTTTTGGATAAATGCGGTTACTCTTTTGTTTTTGGTAATGGAAAACTTGATGTTTGTTTTAATTCCGCTATTGTTGGTTCTGGAAATTTGCGTGATGGTTTATATATGTTGAATGTGAATGAGATGTTTGTTAATTCTGTTGTTGGGACAAAGCGCAATAGGAAAGATGAGAATTCTTCGATATTGTGGCATAGACGCTTAGGGCACATTTCTAGACCTCGTATTGAAAGACTAATTAAGGAGGGTATTCTGCCTAATCTTGATTTCATGTTTGGGGTTGTAAGGCTGAAGTCAAACATTACAACCCTCAACAGAAGAAACTTGATATGAAGACTATTGGTGGTTTCTTCATCGGATATAGTGTTGGGTCTAGAGGTTGCAGATTTTATTGTCCTTCTCATTCTACACGAGTCGTTGAATCTGATAGAGCAATTTTCTTTGAGGGTGATTTGGATAGTGGAGTCTCTATGCCACGACCAGTTACGCTTGAAGAAGATCGTACTTTTCTCCCTATACCAATCATTCCTTTCCATAATGAGGTTGTGATTCCAGTAATTCAAAATAATGATCAAGTTGTGTCACCACAAATAGATGAGCATGAACAAATTGATACCCTAGAGCCTATTGGTGTTGCTGAACCAAGTGACATTACTGAAGTTGTTCCATTGAGACGTTCTCTGAGAGTTCGAAAGCCTACAATATCAAATGACTTTGTTGTGTATCTCCAAGAGCATAAGTTTGACATTCATGATGATGATGACCCTACCACTTTTAATGAAGCAATTTCTTGTTCTCATGCTTCTAATTGGCTGCATGCTATGCATGATGAATTAAATTCTATGTCTCTTAATGGTGTTTGGGATCTCACAGAGTTACCAGTTGGTTGCAAGGCCATCGGATGCAGATGGGTTTTCAAAACTAAACGTAATCCTGATGGTAAAATTGATAGATACAAAGCCAGACTAGTGGCAAAGGGCTATAGTCAAAGAGAAGGGATTGATTACAAAGAAACTTTCTCTCCCGTCTCTGCCAAAGATGCTTTTCGAGTTATTATGGCTTTGGTTGCACACTTTAATTTGGAACTTCACCAGATGGATGTGAAGACAGCTTTTCTGAATGGAGAACTTGTTGAAGATGTTTACATGATTCAACCTGAAGGTTTTATTGAAGCAGGAAAAGAGAAGTTAGTATGCAAACTGAAGAAATCCATATATGGATTAAAACAGGCATCTAGACAATGGTATTTGAAGTTTGACAAAGTTTTCACTTCTTTTGGTTTCAATGAAAATGCTTTAGATCAGTGCATTTATTTAAAGACCATTGGGAGAGATTTCATAATCTTAGTGTTATATGTCGATGATATCCTTCTTGCTAGCACTAGTGTTAGTCTTTTGAATGAGACAAGAACAATGTTAAGTAACCACTTTGATATGAAGGACCTAGGTGATGCTTCTGTTGTTTTAGGCATCCAAATTTTTCGTGATAGGTCACGTGGTGTTCTTGGTTTATCTCAAAAAGGATATATTGAGAGAATCCTTAAACGCTTTAATATGCAGTCTTGCTCCTCGTGCGCTGTTCCTGTCCAAAAGGGTGATAAACTCTCTAAATTTGAATGTCCTCAAAATGATAAAGAAACTGCTGAAATAGAAAGAGTCCCATATGCTTCCCCTGTTGGCAGTTTGATGTATGCTTAAGTTTGTACTCGTCCCGATATTGCATATGCAGTTAATGTTTTAGGGAGATACTTGAGTAGTCTAGGATTGGGTCATTGGAAAGCCGTTAAAAGGGTCATGCGATATTTGTAGGGAACCAAGGATTACATGTTGACCTATAAGAAGTCTGATCAACTTCAGGTCATTGGTTATTCTGATTCTGATTTTGCAGGTTGCCCTGACGACCGAAAGTCTACTTCCGACTTAATTTTTATGATGGCAGGAGGAGCTATTTCGTGGAAGAGTGTTAAACAGACTCTTACAGCTACCTCAACCATGGAGGCAGAATATGTAGCTTGCTATGAAGCTACTTGTCAAGCTATGTGGCTAAAGAACTTAATCTCTCGCTTCAAAGTTGTTGAAAGCATATCTAGGCCACTTGTGATATATTGCGACAATTCTGCTGTTGTACATTTCTCTCAAAACACTAAGAGCTCTTCTCGCTCAAAGCATTTTGATATTAAGTATCTATTTGTCAGAGAGAAAATTCTTGAATTTCAGACTCGAATTGAACATCTTGCCACTGAGAACATGTTGGCTGATCCACTGACCAAAGGCTTGACTGTTGGTGTTTTTCAAAGGCATGTAGCAACATGGGTGTAGTTAAGTCATTTGATATTTTGGATTAGTGGGAGTCTGATTGTTGCATTTAATTATTGTAATGAGATATGTATAAGATGACGTCAATTTAATAATCATACCTCTTATAGCATTTCAGATGCTTGGACCATTATTGAATTACATATTTCTACATTATATTATGTTAATTCATATTCATTATCGTTATATGAAATGTGGGTATTTGAAATGTGGGATTTGTTTCCCTATCGGATACAATTTATGCATTGTTAAATTTTGTGTCTTCTCACATTATTTTGATGACAAGTGGTTGATATATTTGGTTATTATAATTGTGTTATTTTAATAATTAATTAAAGTCATCCAAGTGGGAGAATGTTAAATCTATAATGGATTTACTTTAATTAATCATTTTATTATATATATAATTATTATATCAATTAACATTTACTTAATTAAATGAATATTGTATTGGGCTTAATTGTTGAATGACCCGTGATGGGTTGGGTCATTCTTTTGGATAGCCCGCTGAGAGGTCCCTTCCCTCATCTGCTGGTTATATATTTGACTATCCCATTAGGTCAGATAATTAAGCGTAACCGTTCCATCAGAAAGAGGGCAGTAGCATTCTCAGTTTACACTCAGGCAAATGGATTCAACCATGACAGGTACATGTTTATTGCATTATTGATATTATAATATGTCATACAATCATATCCAAGATACAAATTAAATATCCACCAAACATGTAACAACAACCAAATTATCCTTACTCAAACTGATCAGTTCCAACAAACCGATTACCCAAAATCAACCAAGTTAATGCCAAATTAATGTCAAGCATATCCAAACTCAAAACTGAGTTCCAACAAACAGATTTTCCAACATACAATCAAATTATCTATGATCTAAGAACAAAACCAAGATTATGCAACATTATCCCAAATACTTCATAAAAACTTCATACTTTCACCAATGCCTTCCTCTTTTTGTCCTAAACATTCCAATAATTTGCAGCCTTTGACACAACTTCGTTCAACAAAATGTTATTAAATGATTAAACTAGATAAAGTGCAAGTTTCATCCTTGTAGGAATCACAACCTGCATATAATTATAAACATTTAGGAAAAAATGGAAATATAATTAGAGGGGAAATGTTCAAGAAATAGTGACCACATTAATTAGACTTACACTTATAGCTTCGTAATCAGTTCTGAATGGACACTCAATCATTCATTTAGCCACCCACACTCCACAGTCATTTCTGTGTTCAGTCACTTAAATGCATTAGTGTCACATTAATATGTAATTTCAATTTAAAAAATAGAGTAAGGGTTGAGAATGCTTATGATTCAGTTCGTTGCTTTGAGAGGAACCTTGGTTGAACAATCCAGAAGTTTGTGACTAGATTGTCAAGGTAATATGGACAGAGTTCACCGAAAAAATCGTGAAGCATAATTTCTTCAAGAAATAATGTCTGCCATAATAGTAAATATCAAATTTGAATAAAATATAGATCGAAACAATAGTTCGGAAAGTAAAACAAATTATAGATAACATGCATACCATTTTTAAAATCTGATGGCGTCTCATATGATGTCTATCGACATCAGGCAAGGGGTCCAACCAAATCAATTTTCTTTCAATAAAATCAACAACAAGCAGATACCAGTGATTTCCTTGGTCATTCATAGGAATAAAAATCTATAAAAAAACAAATATTAATTGGTATGAACAAAATTTCCAATTTTGAATGTAACAAATTTTTTCTTAAAGTAACAGAAAATCACCTTAGAAACAAACGATTTTGTTGTCATGAAGTTGACTTGATAAATTTCCCTCACATAGTCAGCTGAATATTGTCCGTCCATCAGATATTGCTTAAAAAATGTATTTTAAGTCAATAAATAATACTTAATGATGTGAATTTAAGAGTTGGATTAGTAGTGCTAATCACCGCAAACTCCGTATGCATATACCAAACAGACTTTGTATTTCCTATGGTGCTTAAATACCAATTTTGTCGGGCAACAACTAAATTAAGAGTATGTATTGTCAAATGAAAATGACATTAGATAAAATTTTTAAATTAATAGGGATTTTTTTTTAATTCAAATCATATAAATATAACCTCTTGGTCAATAGGACAATAAGGCATCAGAGACTTAAGTGTTGTACTGTCCCCAAATACATTTGATGTAGTTTTGACTAGAACCTGATTACTACAAAGAATAGATGTATGCACTGTCAAACTAAATGTGATAAATGAATTTAAAATTTTGTTTTAGCATTTGTATTAAAACTACATACCCATATATTTTCTCATCATCACGAATAAAGATGTATGCGGCAAGGTAAACGCATATTGAATTAAGATTCACCTGTAGGGTGGGTCTAAAAGTCATTGGCATCCACTGTCATTAATTATGTTTGAAAAGAAAAACTTTAGTAAGTAATAAAGGGATATTATATTATATTAGGTTTTATTTAAAATAATTAGTTAATCCTTACTTGAGGAATATCAAATCCAAAATCGTAACCTTCATATCCAATATGACCTGATGGATGAAAGTTAAGGTAAAAATTGACATCATCTGCTTCTTCAGGTTGACAGAACAGAGTATTCTTGATCCTATTGTACTGATTTTCTTCCAGCATTCTAGTCCGCACTTTTTTAAAATTGGATTTGGAAGGGGCTGTTGTTGTTCCCATAGTAACTTTGGACATGGAGGATTTTCTCTCGGTTGCTGACCTTCTTTTAACAAAATTTTTTGCTCCACTTTCGGCGTTGAACCTGTGGAGCTGTACCTTTTTGAATCATCGTTGTCATGTAAGGTTGGGCTAGTAGTTTGGTGACTCTCAAACCATTTAAGATATCAGTTTAGTAATGAGTAAATATTTTAAACAATCCTTTTGAAGAAACTATTACTAAAAACTTAGCGCGTGCACACACACACAATTAATATGAAGGTTTTGAAACCAGACTGTGATGTAGAAATCGAACAAAAACTTACACATCAAATAGTTCCTTATGAAATAGGAAAATATTAATAAATAAATGAAAAAGTAAACAAGTAACTACTTCCTCATGAATTTAGAAGAAACTTTCATAGAAAAGATTGAAAATGATCATAGAAGCACACACACATAGAAGTTCAGTGACTACTTTCTTATGAAACACTAACTGGTTTCTGATTCATTTTATTATTAACATGTTATATGAACTAAGGTTACATTAAACCTGAATGAAGATCATTGGTTACAAGTCTTTGAATTTAGAAGTCTAGGACACACACACATTTTATTGCTAAAACAATAAAGTTCATGGCACACACTTATCAATGTTCAAATGCGTTTTCAAGCCCAATTTGTTATTACTTGGATGATATCACAATAATCTCAAATTTGAAGTTCTTTTTGTGAGTCTCAGAGCACTCCTCCATGAGTTGTATAGAACGAGTTGAAGTCTCTGAATTAGTCTTTTTTCTTTTAAAAAAAATCGTAAGTTATTTTTTTCACGTAATTAATTTTAAAAGTTTACTTAAAATGTTGTGTACATTCCATTGGGCTATTGTGTGTAAAAGCATATTACATGTTATCTTTGTTATGATTTAATTTGAAAAATCTTCTAAAACCAAATACAGATAAAATGTTTATTATTATAGACACAAAATTGAAATTTTATAGAAATAAAAGTGCTAGTGGTCCCTCTAAATTGTTTAAAAAGTAAATTTTAATAACAATAAAGTAGTAGTATAAGACTAACAAAAACACAAACTAGGAAAAGTTGTACTTTAAAATGTACTAGTATGTTAAGAATAAGAGTGAGTTTATGGAATGAATGAATAACAATTTTTTTGTTGTTGCTCTTTTAAGAATTGACATGACCATGTAATAATTGGAATTTTTTTATGGAAAGTTTATAATAACTGAAATTAGTACTCCAATATTTATTGTCTATCATATCCTACAAAAATTGAGTGTAGTTAAATATTTTTTTGTAGTTTTAGTTGAAGTAGCATTAAATAGTAGTAGAATAAAAAAACTGAAGTCAAACCAAATAGCAACTCTATACTCTTTGAAAAGCTGCAATAGATTTTATGAGGCGTGTGTAGATGGTGCAGATTAAGTGATAAAAAGATATGTTTTCCATATTTCAATTAATATCATTGAATGCTAAATGTGTTAGGTTTTTCCCATATATAAAACATGCGTAGAATGTGGTTCCAAATGAAAAACTACTTCATATTTTTACATTATTTTGCCTATTGTTCTTTTATTCAAAAGATGTATTCATCAACATGAACAATCATGTATTACCACATATTCCCTTAAGTGCTCAATTGGATATCAGACAAAATCAACAAAGTTTTTATGTACTATATCTCTATTAATTGAAATAATGAATCTCCTAAATGCTCTAAAGGTTATCAATTGGGATCAATAGAGTAACTAGTGAATTTTAAAGAGATCAATTAATTATTAAAGAGACAAACCGATATTAATAAGAAGAAGAGATAATATTTTGGTAACTCTAATGATTGGTCGATTGGAGTTGGATGACAAAATATCAATTGGAGATATTTTATACCATTGGATAATATTATATAATATGTTTATCATATATTTGGTGGAAAAGAGAGAAATAGAAAGAAGAAGAAAGTTGGTAGAAGAGAAGAGGAAAAGAGAAGAAAAAAAGAGAAAGAAGGAAGAGCTCACAGAGGAGGAAGAAGAAGAAATTCTCATCATCATTCCTCTTCATCATCCAACAATTTATTCTTCCCCATTGCAAAGTGAGTTCTATTAGATAGTATGATATTTTTGGGGGAGGGGGGGGGGGGGGGGGGGTGATATAAGATTGGTGGGTTAGGTTTTGTGTGGAAATGGAATTAAGTGTTGTGTTCTTGGTGATATGATGAAGTTTATGCTTAACCATGTTACTCTATATTTTTATGAGTGTTTGGATGTATTATGGATGATTGGGTGCTAAGAAATGAGTGTTTTTGGCCCTAAATGACCTATATTTGCGTTGCTGCAAATTCTGGATTCGCAGGGTTTGCACTGTGAGCCCAAGGCGAAGTGAAGGCAAAAGTTCGCCTAGAGAACTTTGTCCCCTTTTTATTTTGTCTCTTATTCGCCTAGAGTTCACCTAACGAACATGAAATATTTTTTCCATTTTGTTTCCTTCATAACTTTTGAACCGTAACTTTCCCACCATAATTCATGAATCAGGAGTCCGATTGATATGAGATTATAATATATATATATATATATATATATATATATATATATATATATATATATATATATATATATATATATATATATATATATATATATATATATATATATATATATATATATATATGCTATATATATATATATATATATATATATATATATATATATATATATATATATATATATATATATATATATAGTTGTTTTGGTGATACATATTTACTATCCATGAATTGTTGTTGGTACGTGTATACATGTGATCATAATAGTAGAAATTCATAGGGAATGGTGAGGAAGCCCTTATGTCAATTAATGAGATGAGCTAGGGATGCAACTAAGAAATGATAAGCAACGTTAGAAATGCTTGAAATGAGTATTACAATGAGTCCCATAGGAAGTAGTGATAGAGAGGCTTGATATGGGTGTTGCAATGAGTCTCATGGGAAGTATATGAGTAGAATGCTTGAAATGGGTATTACATTGAGTCTCATAGGAAGTGATAACCCATACGCTTGAAATGGGTATTACATTGAGTCCCATAGGAAGTGATAACTCTTATGCTTGAAATGGGTATTACATTGAGTTCCATAGGAAGTGATAGCCCTTACTCTTGAAATGGGTATTACATTGTGTCCCATAGGAAGTGATAACTCTCAGGCTTGAGATGGGTATCACACCGAGTCCCATGGGAAGCAAAGGTAAGTTGCTAATCAGTGTTATACTATGAGTTGTGGAGCTCTAGTAACTTATTTCCACATAGGGTGAGGTAGTGAACTCAAAGTCTCATCCATTCCTTTATGATTTGAGATAGAAATCGGTTAAAACCTTGTAGAGTTGAGTGAATCCATAAGATAGGGAAACTCACTGAGATGATTATCTCAGCCCATTATTGTTGTTATTTTTCAGGTATTGTTTGCAGGTATGATTTACAAATGGAGCTATGCTTGGATGTTTCAAGAGAAACTTAGTTTATGTTTATTCCGTTGTGTATTATTTTCCTTGTACAATGAAGGATATTGTACCTTGATCTTAGATATTATTGTTTTGGCTAGTTTCCATGTCTTGTACCATAGGCTGTATTTTATGTTTTAGAAATGGTCAAGTATGTGAATTATGCCAATAAGCACTTATGATGGTTTCAGTTCCAAAGAAAACACTTGTATGATATTATTCTAGGTATTTATTATATAGGGAGTTACAATTGGTATAGAGCGATCTTTTAGAATTGATGGGGTCGAAAAGTTGAGGTTCTCTACTGGATGAATGATCAGGGTATTGAGTACTATATGGATTCACAAGTGGAATTGGATTGACCACTGGTGTGAACAAGACTTCCAAGTGATCTCATCTAGTAAGGAAGGAAGGGTGTTTTATGGAGTGTGTTGGGAGTGGTTGAGAGATTGAGGGTTAAGGATGTTCAAATTTTTTTGGGAACCTAAGGATGTAGTGTAGCCGAAAGGAAGATACAAGAACACGACTGACTGTATGTTCCAATTGAATCTTGTGTATATCAGACGAGAAGTAAGGGGTAACTCAAGTATATTAAGTCTTGGAAGGGAGACCGGATTTAGAATGGTATGTCGGGAATTCAACATTCAGTGAGAGACCAATTTGGAAATGTTAAGTTGCTCAAGGATCAATTATAAGAGAGTGTGTTATAAAAGGAATGAGTATTTTATAGTAACATAGGTTCTAACGGTATGAGCAAGAGAGGTTCGTGATGAAATATAGAACAAGCAATTTGGATTCAAGGAAACTCTAGTAGGATGATTTTCGGAATTGGGATTAAGAAAAGTGCCATGGGTAATGGAGCAAACGCAGAATATGGAATGATATCAATGTTGTAGTAAGAAAGTGGTAACATGGTGTAATTTTGGATAGAGGTACAATGGAATTATTGAGATTTTGTTGAGATTAAGGTAAGAATGTTTCATCAATAGTCGTTCACTTGTGAAGACTTTAGAGTGTGAAGTGGAGTGGAAGAAGTTACACCTCGAAATTATGAGTTATGTGGTAGTAGCATTGTAGTCACAAGTGTATGTAATGGATTCCTAGTCTTGAGACGGGTCTAAAGTAACACACTTTTGTTAAGCAGCAAGACTATGTTAAGCAATAAGGAGATGACCAAGATTTAGTATAGATTAAGTGTAATCATGAAACAGTCTGTGATGAAGGGTCTTGTGAGTAATTGGTGAGAGTGTTGGTTGTGAGTCATTCAATAAGTGGTTCGGTGTAGAGAAGTATTCAATGGATATTGGTTGGGAAGATAATCCCAATCCATAAGCATGAGAGAGATGTCAAGGTTCTTCATAAGGAAGCATTCTCTTGGTTGTCAAGAGCGGTAGGATTTTCTGTATTTCTGGATGATCGAAGTATTTCAAATGTACCTTTTGTTGGACTAAGGAAGTTTGTTATTTTGATTCTCACCAAGGATTTCTAGTAAGGGTATGAGGTAGTATGCTTGACATGATATGTCCATGATGAAT